TTAAAGTGTTTGCGAGATGGCAGATAAGAATAGAAAAGCACATGCCAACTAATTCAGATTCCTGAACATTTTATCGTTTTTTTTTATTTTTTTAAAGCTATTTGTTTACATGCGTTGTTTGTTTTTAGCTTTAGTCGCTTGTTCGAGTGAAGTCTCTTTTGTGTTTGACCTTATGCCGCTCTCAGTAAACAGTCGGGTGTTTCATAAGAAGGACAGTGAGAGAGAGAGAGAGGGAAAGGATCTCTAAAGAGGGGGAGAGAGAGAGAGACTGATAGGAAGAGGAATTTACCCAAGCCATTACCGATGACAAGAAAAGTCTTATGGCCGGTGACGGAACAAAATTGTTGTAACAAAGATCTTCTGTCCTAAACTAGACACCTGTTGGAGTTAACAGTCAGGTGTAATACTTTTGGCTAAAGATGCTGTTTCAACAGAAATATACAGGAAGAGAGTGAGAAGGATACACGTGGACGTCGGGGTTCCCGTTCGATGGGGGAAGAAAAATGTGATACCTTAGTTCTAGATCCCGAGTCATCGCCACCTGATCATTTGTGGCTACTTTTGTCAGGTCTAGATGTATAGGTTTCAGTGCGGTGTCGCTAAAAAGGTCTGGTCAGTGGGGAACAACAACAAAAGAAAGTGCGCTGAAGTTTGAAGAATCAGCAGTGTCCTCCAGTTGGCAAGCTCCAGCTGTGACGTCCTTCTAACTTGGAAGCATTCTGATGACGTCATCGATCGTGTAGGCGAGGGCTATTTTCTGGGGGCCACAATCCTTTACGTTCCACGAAAAGAAATATTTAAAGTAACGATATTTTTTTATTTGTTTTTGGCACGGCGCTTTTTTTTTTTTTTTTTGACGCGGTCTCTTTCATTCGGTCGTCGGTTTGCGGACTATTTGCGTTTCCGCTTTGTGTTCGTTTTGAAAGCGGTTATTTGTGCGTTTTTTTTTTTTTTTTTTTTTTTTTTTTTGCGGCGTTAGAGGCTGGCTGCCGCTCTTCACGAAGACGCGCGGCCATCGCTTCACTTCGAGGACAAGACACGCGTGTGTCACTCTTGTTACTGCAGCTTGCTCCTCAGTCTTCGGGGGCGCAGAGTCGTTTGTCGCTTCTTGACGCTGCGGGAGTCACTGTCAACGTGCCCGTCGGTTAGCCCTAGTTTTGCTTTTTCCGCGCTGCAAAAATTTGTCGTGGGGCTTGTTAAACTGCAGAAGCACGCGTGCCATTCGGGAGGGGCGCCGGCCGTGGGTTCACCCTCTTGTTTATAACGAGTTCTTACGAATGGGCGTCAGGCGTGCGCGCACTCCGCGTGCGCAGAAAGCAGATTGGCGTGAGGTGAAGCTTCTGCGCATGCGCCGTGCCGACATCAGCGCCACCTCAGCGTCGTGACGTCAGAGCCGCCTGACGCTGTAGATTTACTTGTGTCAGATTTTATTTTCACCTGGGCGCGGTTACTGTGAAATTCAAAAGTCGCGTCAATTGAATAGATGTTTGTAGTGATTTGAGAAGTTTTTGCGTTGCAATCTAGCACTTTATGTTCCTGCTGTGCAGAGAATATATAGCGGTTACAGTTCGTTCGCAGCAGTGATTCCAGTAATGGTTGTGTCCGCGGAGCTCAAGCTTCTGCGTTATGTACTAATACGGGCTGCCAAAAAAAAAGAAAGAGAAACAAAGTTTGGCAGATGTTGCCTTACCATGATTTGTTAATCCTGCAGTTGGACGTTGTTCTGTACTGAAACTTCTTCGTTTTCTTTCAGAATGAAACCAGCTGCGCTATTTAGCTTAGCATTGGAATTGCATGACAATCTGTTTAGTTATTTAACCTAGACTCAGTTCGCGTTCTTTACTTATCTGGTGAGCAGGGTCTTTCGAGATTTAAATAGCGAGGTTCCCGAAGAAATCAGAGTTGGCAACGCGAGGTTTCCTTCTTTCTTTTACGTGCCGATTGCCGGAGTGAGATATATTTCCGGGGACTTCCAGGGCCACCCGTCAGGGAGCTGGGGTTTATGCGATCTCGGCGTCGAGACGCTTTTAGGCGGGGAAATGACCGCTTCCACGAACTCGGCTCCCGGATTCGCTTCCTGCTGATGATGCATGCGACGCCGTCTCTGGAGCGCACAGGGCAGACGGAGCGCCGTGCAAGTAGAGCAGCGCGGCGGGCGAAGACCTAACGAACGAGAGTGAGAAGGAAACGAGGGGAATTGAGATGAGAAACGCAGCTCGCAGATAACAAAAAAAGCAGGGCGAATATGTGTGAGCGAGTGAGCGTGAGTAGTTAGCGTGGGAATGGTTGAGGGAGTAGTTAAGGGTGTGAGTAGTTGAGGGTGGCGATGGCTGAGGGGGGTAATAATTGAGAGGGTAGTAATTGAGGGTGTGAGTTGTTGAAGCTGTGAGTAGGCGAGGATGCGAGTAGGCGAGTATTCGACTAGGTAAGGATCCGACTAGGTGAGGATCCGAGTAGATGAGGATTAGGTGAGGATGCGAGTAGGTGGAAGTGTGAGTGTTTGAGGGTGTGAGTTGGTGAGGGTAGAAGTTGGTTAGGGTAGAAGTTGGTTAGGGTAGAAGTTGGTTAGGGTAGAAGTTGGTTAGGGTAGAAGTTGGTGAGGGTAGAAGTTGGTGAGGGTAGAAGTTGGTGAGGGTAGAAGTTGGTGAGGGTAGAAGTTGGTGAGGGTAGAAGTTGGTGAGGGTAGAAGTTGGTGAGGGTAGAAGTTGGTGAGGGTAGAAGTTGGTGAGGGTAGAAGTTGGTGAGGGTAGAAGTTGGTGAGGGTAGAAGTTGGTGAGGGTAGAGGTTGGTGAGGCTAGAGGTTGGTGAGGCTAGAGGTTGGTGAGGCTAGAGGTTGGTGAGGCTAGAGGTTGGTGAGGCTAGAGGTTGGTGAGGGTAGAGGTTGGTGAGGGTAGAGGTTGGTGAGGGTAGAAGTTGGTGAGGGTAGAAGTTGGTGAGGGTAGGAATACGTGAGGATGTAAATAGACGAGAGAAAATAAGTGAGTGCTTGCGAAAGTTTTATGCAAGTTAGAGTGATCATTCACCTCGTCTCATTGCGCGCGCGTGGGAGAGAAAATTAAGCGAGTCTATGAAAGTGGCGTAGAAATTTAAACAAAAAAAATTGATAACAAGAACTGTACCTGGAGAAATATTCCCCGGGAGAATTTTTATGCTGGCTAAATAAAGCATATTTTTGAATATGTACTTCAAAATTTTCATAAATTTGGTGGCTGTCTGCCTTCCTAATGTCGTTGCGCTGTATTTGGTGAACCAACTTTCCACCCAGTCAACTTTCCGAGGGGGAAGGGGCCCGGTCAGGATGGTGACGACCGATGATGGTGTTCGCCCGATGGTAGTCCCCCAGGAAGTCGAATAAGGAAAAAAAAAACTAAAAGTTGTTCGATCCCGCTGGACACATTACGACGTTGGTAGGTTTACGGTGGCCAGTGTGGCCACGTTTATTTTCAAAACAAAACGACAAGTCAACGGTAATACCAAAACTTCCAAAATTAAAACCCCATACTTTAGTCCCCAGTCTCAAGAGCCGAATTCCCCGAGAACCCTCTCGGCAGCCCTTTTCTAGCCTCGTAGATGCCTCCTTTCTCTCCAGAGATGGACCAATCACTTCAAATTTCACCACTCCCACGTGGTACACTGTCGTCCAATGGTCGGCGAGCTGTCATCCTGTCGCTGTAACGGCCAAACCTAAATTCCTTGTAGGGTTGTTCTCTGCAATTTTTCCAGTCTGACTGGCGCCAACCGCTAAGTTATTGCATCGGGCAAAAAGCGACAATTTTACACTAAGCGTCGAAACTCTCTATATACAGGCACATTCGGCTAAAAGCCACAACCAGCTGCAAGAAGGGATCTGTCCGCTCCCCACTCCCGGCCGCTCTGCCCCCGCAAATGCTCCCTCCAAAACGCCGACCATTGGACGACAGTGTACCACGTGGGAGTGGTGAAATTTGAAGTGATTGGTCCATCTCTGGAGAGAAAGGAGGCATCTACGAGGCTAGAAAAGGGCTGCCGAGAGGGTTCTCGGGGAATTCGGCTCTTGAGACTGGGGACTAAAGTATGGGGTTTTAATTTTGGAAGTTTTGGTATTACCGTTGACTTGTCGTTTTGTTTTGAAAATAAACGTGGCCACACTGGCCACCGTAAACCTACCAACGTCGTAATGTGTCCAGCGGGATCGAACAACTTTTAGTTTTTTTTTTCCTTATTCGACTTCCCGGGGGACTACCATCGGGCGAACACCATCATCGGTCGTCACCATCCTGACCGGGCCCCTTCCCCCTCGGAAAGTTGACTGGCGCAGTCGACAGGATCCTGCTGACTTCCTGCGACGGGCGGAGAGCGAAAACGACGGTATCAACGGAGGCAGGCGGAGCGTACCTGGGCTCTATGCGACAAGTGTTTCGTCTGCTGGATTGCGGACAAGGGTCGCGTCTGCTGGACTGCGGACAAGGGTCCCGTCTGCTGGACTGCTGACAAGGGTCGCTCCTGCCGGAGTGAGGACCGCGGCAATATCTACGTGAGAAGCCCGGGGGAGGTACAGTTACCCAAAGAAGTCGTCTGCTGGACTGCGGACAAGGCTCGCTCCTGCCGGAGTGAGGACCGCGGCAATATCTACGTGAGAAGCCCGGGGGGGTACGTTACCCAAAGAAGTCGTCTGCTGGACTGCGGACAAGGCTCGCTCCTGCCGGAGTGAGGACCGTGGCAATATCTACGCGAGAAGCCCGGGGGGGTACAGTTACCCAAAAGGAGTGGTGGCAGCTGACAGGTGGTCCTGGGCGTCATCTACGTCGGAGAACAGGACGACCTGTGGCTTCACCTGCGGACCGGCGAAGCATCTTCAGCGAGCGGCGACAGAATATCGGGGCAAGCCTCAAGAGAAGAGACGAGATCGTCGCTGCAGTACTGAACTTCGTGGTGGTGCCGGAAAATTTTGCGTTTTTTTTTTTGTTTGTCTGTGAGGTTTTTTTTTTTTTTCTTTTCGGTGAACGAAGAATGAGCTGAGACTTCCAGACGACGGGCATGATCGCCAGGCCGAGTGGGGACACTGCGGCAAGTGGGTGGCGGTGACTGGAGGAGCAGCTAATTGGATTTTGCCAGGCAACAGTGGGTGAGTCCCATTCCCGTTTTCTCCGAGGCTCACCATGACCAGAGAGACTAGATCGAAGACCCCAGGGTCTTCCCTCAGTGGCGCCAACTCGGAACCAGACGCTGGCACCAGTGAGGGAGGGCAGCCAACATATTCGAATGGCCTTAGTGCTGAGATAACACTCATGAGACTAAAGATAGAACTCGAGAAAATAAAACTAGAGCAGCTCAAAAAAACGGGGCAGCCGCATGAAGAGAACACTCGGGGTACGGGGGGAGTCGAACGGTATGCAAAGGAGCTACGTGCGGTGCTGGCGCCAATGCCCGAGACGGACACATTGGTACCTGCATGGTTTAAAGGCGCTGAAACAATGTTGGTGAGTTGTGAGGTTCCACAGGACCTACACGGGGCACTCATTTTGCCCTTTCTAAACGAGAAAGCGAGCGCCGTTGTGGCAAACAGAGCAGAGGGACGGGTATTGCAGTACAAGGAGCTACGAGACATTATCCTCGACGAGCTCAGGATGACTCCGGATGAGTATAAGCGGAGGTTTCATGTCGCACGCAAGCAAAAAGAGGAGTCGTGGGCACAGTTCTCTACCGATCTGACTACCATGTTCGGCTACTACATGGAGAGCCGCGAAGTAGAGACACTAGATGATCTAAGGCAGCTGATCATTTCAGATCGGCTAAAACATGTCATGCCGGATGATGTCCGGGCCTACGTACTTCAGAATGAAACCAAAGAATGGCTAAGGCCAAAGGAAGTAGCGGAACTTGCCGAGAAATTCGAAGAGAGCCAGCGCGATCGAAACTGGGAGCCCCAGAGGGCGGCCGAGGGGACACAGGTGAACATGCGGGGTGGGCCTGCGGAAGTTGGGGGCGACCAGCGAAGGGTTGAGAAACCTCGACCGCAAGGGTGCTTTTCGTGTGGGAGGCTGGGGCACCTTAAGCAGAACTGCCCTGGATTAGTACATACAGCCGTGGACTCCGGGAACAAACCGGCCTCCGCGTGTCTGTGTGCGGGGGTAAGACCTTCGCCTCGGTCACGCGAGACATTTGAGACGACGGGGACGCGCAGGCATGGAGAAACAGTTTCGGGTATAGGCTAGGTATAGCAAACCTTTTCTTTTTTTTTTCTGTTCGCGTTTGCATTTCCTTGCCTGTAGCCAATGTTAATTTTTTTTCTGCGGTTTCCTTTAGGTAAATGCTGGTCATGGTGGAATCTGGAACGTACGGGTTTGGGTCTCACCGGACTGTGTTTGCTTGTGTTTTTTTTTGTGTGTTGTTGGTTTTCCCTGTCGCCCAACAGATTATTTTTTTTTGTCAGGGGGTATAGCTCCTTTGTTGTTGTTTTGTTTTTGTATGCTACGCGTCTGTCTCGAAAAGGGGGACAGATGTTGCGCGAACAGCAAGTGTACTTGCAACATTCTTGGTGGGGAGGTGTTAAGTAACGAAGGATTTTGTTAGAAATAAGTAAGATTTGTTTTAGAAAAGTCTATCTTTTTACAGTTGCGTCGGCATCGTTTTATTTTTTTTAGCTTTCTTTGTGAGTGTCGGCGTTTTGGAGGGAGCATTTGCGGGGGCAGAGCGGCCGGGAGTGGGGAGCGGCTTCCCCGCGGTCGTTAAGAAACGTCTCGGGTGTCGGTAGTCTGCTCGGACAGATCCCTTCTTGCAGCTGGTTGTGGCTTTTAGCCGAATGTGCCTGTATATAGAGGGTTTCACCGCTTAGTGTAAAATTGTCGCCTTTTGCCCGATGCAATAACTTAGCGGTTGGCGCCAGTCAGACTGGAAAAATTGCAGAGAACAACCCTACAAGGAATTTAGGTCTGGCGGTTACAGCGACAGGATGACAGCTCGCCGACCATTGGACGACAGTGTACCACGTGGGAGTGGTGAAATTTGAAGTGATTGGTCCATCTCTGGAGGGAAAGGAGGCATCTACGAGGCTAGAAAAGGGCTGCCGAGAGGGTTCTCGGGAATTCGGCTCTTGCGACTGGGGACTAAAGTATGGGGTTTTAATTTTGGAAGTTTTGGTATTACCGTTGACTTGTCGTTTTGTTTTGAAAATAAACGTGGCCACACTGGCCACCGTAAACCTACCAACGTCGTAATGTGTCCAGCGGGATCGAACAACTTTTAGTTTTTTTTTCTTATTCGACTTCCCGGGGGACTACCATCGGGCGAACACCATCATCGGTCGTCACCATCTTGACCGGGCCCCTTCCCCCGCGGAAAGTTGACTCACCCTTTCTACCTTCAAGACCGCGATGTTCAAGCATTGAAGCTTTTGACTTCCAGCGTTCTTTTTCCCTTATAAAGTTGATAACTGAGACGGCTAGAAGTCGAAACGCACGATGCCGATAATGGGACACCTTGACACATGTTGATTCTGATCGTAGGACGGTGCACTGATGTGCACGAAGCGGTCACGGCGTCTTCTGTTTCAAGCGGCAACGAAGTACATTTACATTGAATATCCACTAGGAGCGAGCAGGGGCTGTAGACGTCTGGTTAGGTAGTAAAAAAAAAAAAATGGGAAAAACGGCATGACAGCAGAAAAGAGGCTGCGAATAACTAAAAAAAAAAACTAAAAAAAACCTGCCACATTGTTGACGGCTGTCAAAGAGAGGACAGCGACCTTGGTGACGTCAGTCGGTCCTTGGCACTGTTCGAGTCGCGGTTGCAATTGGCCAGAGGTAGTGTACGCGAATATTTAATATTGCCTTCGATCAGTGAGTACTGTACCTATCTGACGTCAACGTTTTTAATGCCGATTGTCGAGATGACGTAATCGAAGACAGCATGCTTGAAGACGTCACCTAAATTATTGAACACTCCGGAAGGTTTTTCGAATGCGCGATAAAAATAGTCGTGTTCGTTTCGCCCCAAGTCTAGACGCAGCCGACACTGCGAACTGAATGGACCGATCAGACAGCGTCAAAAACGCACCATCGTGGTGTCTGCTATGTTTCTGTACGTGTTCTATCATCGCTGAACCAATCATAAATAATAAAAAAAGGCTTAGCGACACAAGCTTTTGACACTGCTTGATTGGCCCCATTACCCGGTAGCGTCGGCCGCGTTTCTCGTGAGAGTATGTAAAAGCAATACTCGAGACAGTTCATTCAACGCCGAGTGTCACGTGACCTTTTGAGAAGAACGGCGACGCTCGGCGCATAGTCATGTGATACCTTCACGGCGTAGGATTGGCTGGGATGGCATGTAGCGTCCGCGCCGGTCCATCGTTAGTTTCGCGACACCCGCCAAAACATTAAAACGCGCAACCAAAAAAGGGACGCGTCCTTTTTATGGTTTCCTGCTTTCAATTAATTCCCAGAAAAAAAAACAAATGAGAAGGGAGAGGTGGCACGGGGAGGATTGAGAGACCATGCGACGAACTGCGTGCACATTTATAGTCGACCCTCACTTACCCTATTCGCGCCGGGGAAAAAGGAAAAACGAAGGCAACAGTGAATGATATCGACGAGAGAAGCATATCGCCTCTCCCTTTCTCGACGAGCACGAGTCAGGGCCGGGGCCTTCCCCCCGCTCTAAAAATAAGGAGACGGCAGAGACACACATCTGCGGCTCTTCGGAGGGGGGACAAGACGGGGCTTTTCGATTCGCAGCAGGAGGTCTTGAACTCCATAAGGAGGCCGGAGCCTGGTTGCCCCACGCAATCGTTTCTCGTGGAGCCACTTAAATAAGCCACGCTTCGGCAGAGTAACGGCACTCCGGCCATCTTGGTGCTTCAGGTCACGGTTCCCGGTCGCCCAAAGCTTTGCCTGTAATCGCAGAAAACGCCTTTTTCGACCTCCAGAAATGTCGAACCGATTTGCCTGAACCTCCTGACAGCGTAGACCCAAAACTCAGAAAGTCTCATTTTCGAATCATAACTGTGGGCCGATTTTGCCCGCTCTGCAATGAGCACCAAAATGGCGTCCCCCACGAGATATTTGGAAAACGGAGTGCCGATACTCTGAGCGTAGGTTATTTTTATTGACTCGAGTTTCTCGTATGTTGAAACTAAACTCACCAGCTCAGCGTATACCCGTTGCTTGCATCCCCAAAAAAACAAAAACTACAACCCCCAACAACCTACCAGGACCGTCGCAGTCTCGTATGGCCAGATGATGATATACAACTTACGGGTGCGCCAGAGGCTCCTCCCACACTCTCGGTAACGCCAACCACTATTTTCTACGCGATGTGCAAAATGATTACAGATCGAAGAATAAGTTGGCAAACTTAAACCCCTCCCACGCCCACGCCCTTTGTCGCAGTGTCGAAAAACGCTATCGCTTCATAAATGAATTGGAACGCAAAAGTAAAGTGCTTTACTTTTATCGGCAACAGTAACGCGTTACTTTTATTTTGGTGTAACGTAGTCCTTTAACACGTTCCTTTTAATTGCGAGTAACGTATCTTGATACTTCTCTCCGCCAACGCCTACAACACTGATTTATAGCCCATACAAAAATGTCCTATGGTCGGCTATAGAAAATTCTTTGTATGGTCGGCTTTAGCTATTTGGCCCAATTAGCTAAAGAATTTTCTATGGCTGTCTTTAGCATTTCTTATGGTCGCCTTTATGGGGCTCTTTAGCTTTGTCTATGGCCCTATCGCTGTCCAGCCATAGCGCTCTTTAGCTTTTCTAATGGTTGGCTAAAGACTCCTCTATGGCTTATCCTATGGCTCTCTTTAGCCAGCAAACTCTAAAAAAATTTACTTCAAGTTCCCCAAACTTGTGAACGCTACATGGTAGATATACATACATCTCTGAACACACAGAGTACACACAACACAAGCAGAACACTACCCCACAGAACAGCAACAACGCAGCAGCACGAACGTATGCTGTATTCGCACTAGCTGTATATATAGCAGTCTAATTTTTGAATCCGACTTTCCCGGTGACCCATCATTTGTCTCAAAAACACGGAGAGGCGGAGCAAATATTACTCGTACTTAATACATTATTTGAATTGTCTCTTGGAATAGCCCCCATCTCTTAATTCGACACCCTGAAAAAAGCAAATGTAGATCATTAGGCTAATTAACTAAAATTTATTGATTATCTTTTTAATAAGTTTGATGAATCACGTTGACAATGCAGTGATGACATGCAGTACACTGGTGCTGAAGATTGCAATCAAGCCATTGCTTGGTTGCAGTGTTCGGCGCCATTGTAATTTATTTTCACTTTTGGGGGTAATAATTAATTTTAATTGTGGCACAAATATTTTAATGGCTTTTTCAAACAAACGATATTACTAATTTTCACGACTCGTTGCAACAGCAGAGAACATATCTTGGGTCATGGTTTGTCACCTCCATTACAAAAATTTAGTATTGATTTAATTTTCTAACGTGGAGTGTTTTTACTAAAAAGTAAGCGCCGGTAGTGATTTTCTATAGGCGTGGAAAGAAAATGTATTGGACCTTGGCCTTTAGACTCGGAGCCATAAATTTTTCTATAGACGAGAAAAGACAAATAATTGGTTTCCAGTATTTAAACTCGGGGCCAAAGGATTTTTTATAGGCGGGTAAAAAACATTTCTTGGTTCGCTGTCTTTAGAAATGGGGCCATATAATATTCTATAGGCGTCTAAAGCAATTTTATTGGTTCCCAGTCTTTAGACTCCGGGCCATAAAATTTTCTATAGAGGGTTAAATACAATTTATTGGTTCCCAGTCTTTAGACTTGTGTCCATAGAATTATCTATAAGCGGGTAAAGAAAATGTATTGGTTCCCAGTCTTTAGGCACAGGGCCATAGATTTTTCTATAGCTGGCTGTAGATGTCTTTATGGATTTCTATGGCCGACCATAGAGGGCCATAGGGGGTGATAAACAGCCATATGAATTTCCATAGACAGCCATAGACCATTTTTGTATGGGAGTACACCGCATTGCTTTTGCTCTTTCCTGGTTGATCCGAGGAGTAACTCGTTGTCGTGTCTGGTACATGGTAGCGTTTACTTGGCACGGTCTTATAACTTGTACCCGGCAATAGTATGTTACACTTAGACTATTGCTTTTTACGGACCATTCAGGTTTTGCTTCTGCTCCCGCGAGAAAAGTCGGGTTCGCCAACTCTTGGCCGCGACGAATGAAGCCGGCGCGTCCTCGGTTCTTGGTGACTGCGACCCGGTGGCCCGGATTCGTTTGAGCGCCGTCGCGGCCCTGGCTCCCCTGCATCCCGTGT